TTGAAAGCCATATATTAATGGATCTCCCTCTGAGTCATGAAAATGGTCATCAGGACAAAAAATGAGATTGGATTGACTCAACCTGATGGAGGTTCTAATTCCTCCTTAGGCTATGCAAAACTAGAAAAAGATATTGGACAGGTGTTTGCCTTTTGCAGCCAATATGGCTGCAATTCCACCAGCAGTGCTGACAGCAGTCAAACGTAATATAAATTACTATTTCTTTACTTCTTAGATTGCAGCTTCATAGTTTATTTCAGTCAGCAAGAATACACAGTATTTGAGGCAAACATATGTGATATTCAACTATAAAATAAAATATTTTCACATATGGGTGATATTTAATGTGATCTTTTTATACAAATTGCAAAGCATGCTTCACAGTACCTAGGTCTAGCATGCTAGTTGATAGTATTAATAGCCTATCAAAAACAGGTGAAAAAAGAAAGAAAATATTTACAGTCTTATAAGATAGAACAGCTTTTGGACTGAGGTGCTTGTTCGGCTATTGGGACGTTTCCACCATTTTCTTTTCCTGTAGCTGCTGGGGCTGCAAAGACAAGAAGATGATAATTATGCCTTGTGTAGTATAAACCATTCATAGCATATAATTTAAAGGGAACTCATACTAGCATAGAGTCAGGTTTATGCATGTTTTAATATACAGTATATATCTTCTTTTTTTTACAATTGATGTCATCATTATTTTCCAAAAAAAAAAAAAAAAACATTTAACACAAGGGGCTCTTGTGATACTGGTGTAGAGTTATGGGTTTACTAAATAGAAAGAACAGAAACATTTGCTTGCTTTTGGGCTGTTTTTCTCTAATTCATGGCTGTCTGAACAGAGCAGGCAGGGAGATCGACAAGTCTCTCCCATGGCTCTATGGACTGTGTGTAAATTTCAGTTTGAGCTGTTGAACTCTGCAAACCAGTTTTCTCAGCTAAATAAAAGCATGCAAAAAAGAACCTCGGGCTCCAAGTACTGGCTGGAAATGACAATGAAATCTTTATATTTATCTGACATGTTTAGATGTATAATTTTCCTAAAAATATTACATACATATTAAAGAAATTGTGTAGAAAACTTTATACATGATGTCACTCCAGGTCCAGTTTAATGGAGCCTCAATAATGGGAAATTGTTGGACTTGTATTTGTGATATAATAGAAGAAATACTTTTTCCTGAACAAACTAGGGTAAACCCACCCATACCTGGTTTTGCAGGCTGAATGCCTAGTTTCCTTTGCTTTTCCTCTTCCAAAGCTTTCATTTTTGCCTCATACTCATCAGCCAAAGCTTTCCATTCTTTTTTATTGTTCAAAATCCTATCGTACATTGGTTGGATCTCTGGATGAAATCTTGAAAACTCCTGGAATAATACAAACAACAAGCAATAGGTTGGTGGGTACCATTCCTTATGATATTGTATAACAATGTAAAAAAATTAATTTTGATGTGGACATGAACCTACATTAATATTTCAATTAAATTTTACTTAGGCTTTTATGGAACATACAGCAATAATGTCTGCCCACTACACATGATCTAAAGTAAAGCAACCTGCACTCAGATGAATGCTTAAAGTGATTGTAATCCCACACATCGTAAAACAACCCATTCAGTTTAAAACAGAAATGAAAGGCAAAGCATTTGTGTATAGATATATAAAGATTAAAAACACCTTTTCCCCTTTTTTTTAAAAGGGATCACATTCCATCCTTTCTCAGCTGCATAAGAGCTGGGAAAGGAGACACAACATCACACTGGACTTCCCAGTGAAAGACTGTGCAGGGGTTTGGGGAGGGGAGGAGGTCAGCAGATGTCTGCTCATTGGAGGAGAGCAGACTGAGTTCCCAGCACAGCTAAAGAAACTGACCACGCTGTGTTATCCTGCCTAGTGTAGTTAATTTTTACTAGGACAGCAAAGGGACTGGCAGGAACTCCACATATTCAACACAAAGGAAGTAATACAAAGATAATTTTTTTCATATAGTACATAGCACAGCAGGCACATATTAGGAATATTAAATGTTGAGTTTACATATTCTTTAACTAAATCTCTCATCCTTTGTCAGCTGCACTGCTTACATCCTGCAGGCCATATCTTATATAGACTTTTATAGGGCCATCTACTGAAGGTGGAGTCAATCAGGAGATGGCTTCATAGATGCCCAAGAGGATCCAATGCAGGTCTAGCCTGTCTGATCTTGGGGTGCAAATACTGTCATTTTATCCTTGTAGCTGTGTGCACTGTGGTGGCTGGGTTGGGTTTCAGAAACCCATTATATGGTCCACCCTGCTAATGCTACCGGCCCTGGGGGGGGGGGGGGGGGGTGACAAAAATCTGGTGGGGGCCAGTCTGGGAAAAGAAAAGTCAGCTGACAGGATGTAAATAAGGCATTGGGCTGAAACTGCAAAATTCTGATAAATATGCAGCTTGTGTTGGGTGGGAGAGAAGGAATTGGAGTAACTGAGCACAGAAAAATAACTGTTGGTTCTGCCAGAAATCCAATAAGCTCCTAACTTCCTGTAGTGAGCTGAAAGGGCTGCTTTTTTATGAAGTGCCAAGCAGTGTTATCAGCCCTGCCTGGGTCCCCTCCCCCCTTACCCCCATCGTGCTGGAATACAGACTATCATCCCTCTCCTAACTTCCATAATGTATAATGTATGAGGAGGTTTTCTGTAGTCTCGCAGAGAATTCAGCATTTTTAAAGCAGCTGCACAGAATTATAGAGATGTATTGACTTTTTTTGTTATTTTATCTTGACATACATTTTAAAAGTACTAGCAAATGTCACATGCTGTTTATGAAATCATGATATGATACCATTATGCTGGAAAGGGATTTTGTAAAGCTTTTAATTTGTTTATCCAGGGAATATCTGATTTCCTTCTGGAGAATCAGGAAGGAATTCATTTTTCCCCTGACGGAGCAGGGTTTTTTAGCACTAAATCAACCAATTTGACATAAAAATTGAGGTCTGTAAAGTAACTGTGAGAAAAACAAAGGGGGAGATTTACTAAAATAGCAGCACACCAATCAGCTTCTACCTTTAGCTGGTTCAATTAAGCTTTGACCATAAAATCTGGAAGCTGATTGGTTACTATGCATAGCTGAACCAGTTTTAGTAAATCTCTCCCAAATGATATACATTACTAATGTAGGTATACTTAAATGTCCACTAGTTGATGCTTATGATGGCCGTGTCACCCTAGGCTCAGACCCTGTCTTAAAAAAAAAAAACTTTTTAAATTGCGTATTACTAAAGAACTGTATCTGTGATAACCTGCACATTTTTTAAATTCCTTTTCAAACACAGAGCCCTATACAAAAACAGAGCTGTATCCATTATTGTGTGTTCTCAAATTATAGCATACCACATTATAAAAGACATACCTTATATACAAATGTGCAGACAAAATCGATGAAACCACACTGCAGCTTTGGAAGCTCATCAGCTTTGTTCCTGTCCATCATGGGCTATAGCAAAACAATAAATCATACTATGAAATATGTATATTTCTCCATTTTCTATACATTAAAACTATTTCGCTCTACCACTCTACTCTTGAAATGTAAACCCATTAGTAGTGCAGAAAAGCCCACAACAACCAATCACAAAGCAACTTTACTGGTCTATCTACATTAAGGGGTTTTGTTTTTCCAGTACAAGAGTCACATTGTGTCCCATCAGCATCTTACCTTACATCAAGAAGTGCCCATTAGAGTCCCCTCTTACATCCACAATTGCCCATCAGGGGCACTGGATGAGGGTCATGGTTGGCTAGCAGTGGATGCACCAATCCCCATATTACAATACACAGAGCACTGCTAGCCAACCAGTGTGCTTTTACGGGTAGTCGATGTGCGCCATATTACATTTTGTAGTGGGCAAGATGTGACCTGTGGGTCCTAGTTTAAAGACCCCCTCGTCTAAACTAAACAATGAAGCTGAAATTGGATTGGTTGCTACCTGTAAGTGCATAGTATTGCTGCATTCACTATTATATTGTAGCCAGGTGCTTGTCTAGAGACAGAGAGAGTGATTTAGGACACTGCTGCAGTGCTTTTTCTGTCTCCAAGGACTTCAGGCTGAATGGGTTAACACTACCTCCATCCACCATGGGGAGCTCACAAGCAAATGGAGCTCAAAAGACATGATGGTTGGCAGCACTGAATCATGGGAGGCGAAGTTTGGGGAATAAACTTTACTATGGAAGTCTATGGACCATTCGACTGCAATCCCCAATGTGAGACAGTTATAAGAGAACAGAAAGTTGTTATTTCTCCTGAATACCGAGGAACTTTCTCTTTGCTGCAAGGAGACCAAGGGACTGGACAGCTAACTAGCAGCATTATTTACTGCATGCAGACTTTACCCGGACTGTACTCATGTGCACCACTGTAAAGCCTGGGCCCCAATGCTAGCTGGAGGAAGAACTAGGGCTAAAGACTGCTCACTCAGATAGCTGCTGCACAAGAACTTTGCCTATTGTCCATAGTAAGAGGTACCTCTTTAGGGAGTCTTAAATTTAACTGCTGCCATTCATATAGAGGGCACTCTAAAGTGGATATAACCTTCTGTTTACAGAGGAGTTATCACAGTATTGATTAACATTGCTGTAACTGTTTTCTAAAGCCACTACTTTTTGCTGATTTTGTGGATTACCAGGTTTACTCTAATTTAGCTGCATAGAACTATGCTGCTATAGCCTAGTGCAAGGCTTAAAATTTCAAGTCCTGAGCTACTAGCCAGGCCTTAAGAGTTACTCGCCACCAAGAAACACACACAAACAGAGACACCTGTACACACACACAGACATGTACATACATACACACACAGAAACATGTACACACACGCACAGAGACACATGTACACACACACACAGGCACGTACAGACACGCATACACACAGATACATGTACATACACAGAAATACACATGCACAGACACATGTACATACACACAGACACATGTACATACATACACAGACACATGTACACATAGACACATGTACGTACATACACACAAACACACATGTACATACACACACACAGACACATGTACACACACACAGACACGTACACACACACACATACATGTACATACATGCAGACACATGTACAGATACACACATGTACATACACATAGACACATGTACATGCATACACAGAAACACAGAAACACACACACACGTACACACACACACACACACACACACACTTACCCCTATAAAAAGTTGCAGTACTTCATTGTTCACTCACAGAGCCGAGTACTGGGCTGTAGGGGGAGGCAGAGTGCACAGCACACACTCCTTCCTTTGCTTTCACTGCGCTCAGCTATTGAGCAGTCTGACGGCTCCCAGTGCCAATGACAGATCCGGCCTGAGCTCCGAGCCTGCTCAGCAAGACGGCCCTGGGGGACACACTCGCCCCCACCATAATTGGCGAGCAGGCGAATGGAAATTTCAAGGCCTGGCCTAGTGAACATATTGTCTAGTGAACTGGGATTGACCTAATCCTTTACTTACTCATTTATGTGCATACTGCTATTTACTGCAACCCATGGCAATATATTGGGTTCATTTACCACTAACCAGCCTGATGTTTGCTTTTTGATACCTTAGTAGTGTGCAGCGTATCTGGTTGTGTACTCCCAATACCAGTGTAGTATCCATTTGCTTAACCTGGTGCATCAGTGGGGCAGAGGTTGTTCTCAGTTGAGTTGAGGCAGAAAAATAGAGAACCCAATCTATTAAGCAGCTCCTGCGGGGGTAGTGCTATTAAATAAATATTTGCAGTACAATAATTTGCTGTACTTTAACACGAAAGCTTGTGCTCTCTTTTAATAATCAAAAAAAGCTTAATTCTGTACTACATCCTAATGTAAGCAATTGCATTACCATGGCAGCCGGCAATTTTTTTGCAAAAGCTTAGCTAACAAAATGTATCCTTTTTTGTCACAGTTCTTCATAAATTATACTTACAATTGGATTTTGCTGCAAAACAGTCCTTTCCAAGTCACCTTGTTCCCAAAATTCAGCTGCAACCAACAAAGCAACCTACAAAGTAAACATTTTAATAAATCAAAGGGCAGTTCCAGTTAAACAGTTTAATAAGTTGCTATATAAATATTTATGCAAAGTGTTTGTTACATAATTCACAAAGTCTTATGTTCCACCCACTCTTGTGTGCCTTATAGAGGAATGGCATAGGAAGGTTGACAACTATTTTGAGGAGGCACTATTATTTTGACATAGACTATATGCTATTGACTCATCTCCATTCTTCTCTTTTGACTGCTAACATTATCTGATAGACAAGTTATCTCTCTCTCCTGCAAGCTGACCCCTGTACCAACCCCTCCAAGCCATCAGATTAAAGAGCAGGTACTCTTAGGCTGGCCAAACATTATGGAATTTACATTCTTTCAACCACGGGTTGAAAGGAAGAAAATTGCTCAATTCACCCATCAACACAGTCAGTGTTAATGGGGGATCCCTCCCGCCGTGCTATTACAGTTGCAAGAAAAAGTATGTGAACCCCTTGGGATTACGTGGAGTTTTGCATGATTTGGGCATAAAATGTGCTTTGAACGTCATCTAAGTCACAACAATAGAAGAACACAGTCTGCTGAACATAATACTACACACACATTAGATGTTGCCATGGTTTAATTGCACATAACATGTAAACATTCACAGTGCAGGGAGGAAAAAGTATGTGAGGGCCTAGCTTAATGACTTCTCCCAGAGCTAATTGGAGCCAGGAGTGAGCCAACCTTGACTCCAGTCAGTGTGATGATATTGGATGTGTTGCTGACAGCTGTCCTGCCCTTAAAAAACACACACCTGTTTTGGGTTTACTGGTTTCAAAAAGCACTGTCTGATGTGAACCATGCCTCCCAGAAAAGAGCTCTCAGAAGACCTACAATAAAGAATTGTTGACTTGCATGAAGCTGGAAAGGGTTAAAAAAGTATCTCCAAAAGCCTTGATGTTCATGTGTCCACGGTAAACCAGACTGTCTACAAATGGAGAAAGTTTAGCACTGTTGCTACTCTCCCTAGGCGTGGTCGTCCTGTAAAAATGACTGCAAGAGCACAGCGCAAAATGCTGCATGAGGTAAAGAAGAATCCCAGAGTGTCAGCTAAAAGACCTACAGAAATCTCTGGCACATGCTAACATTTTTGTTGACACATCTACAATAAGGAAAACATTAAACAAGAATGGAGTACATGGGAGGACACCACGGAGGAAGCCGTTGCTGTCCAAAAAGAATATTGCAGCACGTTTGAAGTTTGCAAAAGAGCACCTGGATGTTTCACAGCACTACTGGCAAAATATACTGTGGACAGATGAAACCAAGATTGAGTTGTTTGGGAAGAACACACAACACTATGTGTGGAGAAAAAAAGGCACAGCACACCAACATCAAAACCTCATCCCCACTGTAAAACATAGCGGAGGGAGCATCATGGTTTGGGGCTGCTTTGCTGCCTCAGGGCCTGGGCGGATTGTTGTTATTGATGGGAAAATGAATTCCAGAGTTTATCAAGACATTTTGCAGGAAAACGTACGACCATCTGTCTGCCAACTGAAGCTCCGCAGAGGATGGGTGATGCAACAGGACAATGACCCAAAGCATACAAGTAATTCAACAAAACAATTGCTGCAACAGCACAGAATACGCCTTCTGGAATGGCCCAGTCAGAGTCCTGACCTCAACCCGATTGAAATGCTGTGGCATGACCTTAAGAGAGCGATTTACACCAGACATCCCAAGAATATTGCTACACTGAAACAGTTTTGTGAAGAGGAGTGGTCCAAAATTACTCCAGATCGTTGTGCAGCTCTGATCTGCAACTACAGGAAACGTTTGGTTGAGGTTATTGCTGCCAAAGGAGGATCAACCAGTTATTAAGTCCAAAGGTTCACATACTTTTTCCTCCCTGCACTGTGAATGTTTACATGTTATGTGCAATTAAACCATGGCAGCTAATGTTTGTGTAGTATTATGTTCAGCAGACTGTGTTCTTCTATTGTTCTGACTTAGTTGACGTTCAGAGCACATTTTATGCCCAATTCATGCAAAACTCCACGTACTACCAAGGGGTTCACATACTTTTTCTTGCGACTGTATATTCTGACAGTGGGAGGTTTCTCCACCATCTGAATACAATGATCACTACCACAGTTGCCAATAGTCACAGATTGCCCAGGACGCTCACGGATTTTTGACATTTGTCACATACAGTCTTTGTCCTGAGCTAAATCACGGAAAATGATTTTTGTCACGGACGGGTTTTATTTTGTCACAGACCGCCGGCAACGGCAGTTGTGGCTTCTAGTACTGCAATGTGTTAACTATATTCTTCCCCCCTCCCTGCGATCCTCTGCCCTCCCTCTCTGAACTCCCCCTGCCTGGGACTGCCAATCAGTGAGATACAGGTAGTCATGTGGCTGTTTCTCCCATGCTGATTGGTTGTTAATGTGAGGGGGTGTGGCCAGCCCAGGGGTGTTTGCGCCAGCCCGCCTTAGCGTCCTCCTCCTCACGTGCAAGGCAGAGAAAGCTGCTGCAGAGAGGACCAAGCCCAGAATGCACACCAGGACCACCAATGATGGACACATTGTCAGAGCGGCTGTGGACCGGCCAGATGCCGCTCTATAGTGTAGCAGAGGTGATTTGTGAGAAAGAGTTTGTGTGGGGGGGGGGGTGCAGAGTGTGTGTGTCTGTGTGTGTGGGGTGTGTGTGTATATGGGGGGGTGCAGAGTGTGTGTTGTGGGGGGGGGGGTGCAGAGTGTGTGTGCACGTAGGTGTGTGTGATCCGATCCACCTACACTGGCTTTCTGGACATACAATAAAAAAAATTGCCCCTAAAAAAAATTTTTTAACTGTTGACAACTGTGCACTACTGTGATTGTATGAAAAGAAATGACAGTCTTATTGTACTGAAATCGATCGATAGATTGACTTCAGTACAACCAGCCTCCCCATAGATGGATCAAAATTTGGATGGTTCAGAAAGGTCTTTCAGGAAATTTCAATCTGTCTATGGTCAGCTTTACTGTACACCTGACTTCAAATAACAACAATTTAAAATAGCTGAATTACAAAAATGATTTCCTGTCTTTCAAATGTGATGTAAGGAGTCTTTCTGTAAACCTGCCTAGAGGTGTTCTTAAAAAGAAAAAAAAAGTATACAGTGAACTGTTGTAGAGTAGTATATATTACTATTACTAAATTAAATACCTAAAAAAGTATATATATACCAGATTTGTAAACATGAAAATATGATGTTATGGAAAAATACAGTCTGAGAATGTGCTTGACCTTGCAATGTTTTTCTCTCTGTGGGCTCTGCATAATTAGCCTATGTCTTGGAAGTAATAATCACTCCGCATAAATACTGCCCACTGTGGGAATGCAACAGTCCTCCGACAGCTAGACAAAACACTTGTATTGTTAGTGTGTATACTTACTGAAGGCAATCTTGTGTATTAAATAAATAATAAATTTTGCAGATCAGCTTTGCATGCCTGGTAATCAAATGCCCCATATACATGTGCTTATAGAAATGTCGAAGTGCCATTTACTTTTGCCTTACCATATATAAAAATTTTCAGTTAAAGGTAATAAAGTGTATAAACTGTATATTTTTTACATTATATATACAGTGAGGGAAATTTATCAAATCTGGAGGAGCTGAGCATGGCAAGCAATCAGAAAATAACTTTAATTTTCAAAGTTTAACCGAACAGGTTAAAGATAGAAGCTGATTGATTGACATGAACTGTTCCTCCAGATTCTGTTGCCTCCAGGTTTGATATATTCCTAGCACAGGGGCGGACTGACCATTCGAGCACTCGGGCACTGCCTGAGGGCCCGGGGTCAGTAGGGGGCCCCATGAGATGCCCCTGGTACATTTGTATATGGTTTTTTGGGTGTGCTTTGAGCGTGGGCAAGGACAAAGGGGCCCCATGATTCCCTATTGCCCAGGGGCCCCATGAGTTGTCAGTCTACCCCTGTCCTAGCACTATGGGGTTTATTTATTACTTCTGCATGGAAACCAATCAACTTCCAGGTTTTATTGCTAAAGTTTAATTGAACAAGCTGAGCTTAGAAGCTGATTGGCTACCATGCATAAGTGCATCAGAATCTGAGTGAACCAACTTTAGTATATAATCCCTATGTGTATAGTCTGTCTTAAGCCCCATATACACAATCAGAATATCATATAAAAAATGCCGCTTTTAAGGCAATCGTATGATAATCTGACCATCAGTACACAGCAATCATCTGAAAATAATAGAAGGTACAAGCACGAAGATTTTATTCGTACGATACCGAATCGTACGAATTTCATTTAACAAGTAGAGTATTCAGCCAAAAATACAATACAAATACATTACATGATTCAGAATTTTTATTCCATCATAAAAGAATT